CGGATAGTACCTGTGGATCCTACGAAATATGTGCATAAAAAGTAATTTGACTTTTAGCAATATAAACTTGCTAAACATACTTTAATAACACTATATAAAGAATTATACAGGAATTCCACAGGTTATCATACAGGTCTTTTGATAAAATACAACTCAGATAAATTCCAAAGAATAGTTAAAATATAAACAAACAAAGTGAGGAAGTTTCTTTTCGTGGATCAGAAAGAGAGAGAGAGAGGACTGTCAGAAATGAGAACAAGTCCACGTTTTATTCTATTCTTCCTCCATGTCCTTTTATTAGCATGATTATTTCTCAGTTACATTTTGCCAGGGAGTGATCGAGTAGTAGGTGGAGAATTGACGATGGAGAAGCAGTATAAGCATCATAAAACTATAGCCCACTGTTTTGTAAATGATTAGAGGAAATTGAAAGATGAAGGGATGAAAGAAAATGCCTCGTAAATTAGAATTACCTCCAATGATAATTGCAAGTTCAAATTTAATGAATTTATGTCTGTTATCTCAACCTAAACCAAAAAATTTAGCCAGTTTAGCAAAAATTAAGGGATGAATGAACAGATGTCGGCCGCTACATAGGTTTGAAACAATGATCAGCACGTGTCACATGCATTTCTCATCTACATCAAACAGAAACCAGATTGCTGTCGGAATGCCTAAAAACGCTTTTCAATATATAAATGGTCGCTTAACTGTCAAAACCTACATGCACCAGAAATTAGAAATTGCTTATAATGGAGTCAAATAAGCATCAACCGCTTGTGGTAAGAATACATTACTTCTTGTGCCATTTGATTAAAAATAAACAAGAATCCTTCACAACGTGTAAAATTGGAATAGTCATCCGACTGATAAGGTCACAGATAACTGCAGAAATAATCTCCAAAAGATAGTTACCTGAAGACCATAGGGCAGTAGTCCTTCCAGAAGAAGTCAACTGAATAGTGTGAAGGAGTCATCTGGGATCCTTTGCTCGGAAAATACATTCTTATTCTGGCTTGATCTCCAAAATCAGATGATCTCACTTCGCGCATAGGAACAGGTGTGATCTTGCCTACAGTATACCTGTGAACTTCAGATGAGATATTTTAAGAAATGTTCCATCGCCATAACATCAAATTTGATTTTTTCATGGCGGAGAATTGAAAATCAGAGAAAAGGAAGGGAACCTCTTTTGTCTACCTGATACCAAGCTGCAAGCTAAGCATTAGATAATAGCTCCTGTGCCCTTCAAAAATGTTCACACATGAGCCCCTTTGAACCTCTTTTGCAAACTTGAGACGTTTATTTTTATGGGATAGTTTGGATATATTTCTAATTCTTTCTTTAATAAGGACTCCTTGCATATATTCCCTCTCATAAGCCACAGCCCTGTTATCTTGCAACTCACTTTGATCATCTGGCAATCTGCAAGATAAGGATGATGTAATCTTTGTAGTCGAATTATTACAGCCCCAATTAGCATCCAGGGATATGGTTTTATGTGACATACGTCCTGATCCTCTTACAAAACTGTTCGAAATTTTATCAGAAAGAGTACGCTTCACACTAGGTACTACTGAGTCCTCTGAATTTATTGACGAACTATGGGATAGCATCTTTGTCTTGTTGTGTTCCTGTCCTTCAAGATTATGTTTACCTAGAGGCTTACTTCCAGCAGGATAGAATATTCCACGTCCATCCTTCAGCCCCTTGGTCCATGTCCCAAAATAATAGCTTCCATCAGCGAATCTATAGAAGCCTGATCCATGTCTCAACCCATTCAACCAGAAGCCATCAAAAAGATCACCCTCGGACCATCTCATGACCCCTCTACCAGACATTTTCCCTTTCTTCCAATTTCCAATATATAAGTTGCCATCGCTCCATGCATACTTACCACTGCCTTCACGTACTCCTTCTCTCCAACAACCATCATAAAAGTCTGAGTTCTGATATTGCTTCCTTCCAATGCCATGCTGAGAATTCATATTCCAAGAACCCCTGTATATGGACCCATCAGAACCAGTAAAAGTTCCAAAACCATGGAGGTATCCTCCAGAGAAATCACCCTCATATGTAGCCTGTGACGGCCAAAATATCTTGCCTTTCCCTGTCATTTTCCCTTCTTCCCAGTCACCATCATAAACTGTTCCATCTGACCAAGCATATTTACCCTTTCCGTGTGGAAGCATTCCCTTGAAATTACCAATATATACATCTCCCTTTGAGAAGATCTTCTCACAACTCCTATTAGATGAAAGTTACAAAGAAATTATCCATTATCCCACGTGCAAGTGAAACAACAAATCTAGAGTTTAATTACTAGAACCTCTTTAGTCTAAAATGATTTGCAGTTGGGTACCTTTCATCAATCTCCATGAAAAACAATGATTATAAACGAAAGACCTGCACAACATACAAGAAAAATCTTCTCAGGCACCATTTGTTACGTTAATCTATCAACGGTAGTATCTTACAAGGATATGTCTTTTTCCACTTCTACAATCTGATCTATTCAAAACTTTCAAACCTATTAGAACAGGAAAATGGACTTTCTTCATGTGGTGAACTCTTAAACATAAATTCTGTCTTAATCCAAGTTTATGCAACAAAAGATCAATCAGCTATCACTTTATTTATCTTTTAATTTTTTAATTTTTCTCTCTTGCATTATCATTTTAGAATGAAGATTTAGGTTTGATTAGTCTATGAATAGATTAGAGTTTAAATCAACTAACTAGCTGGACAAAATCCAATGAGTTCCAGTTAAAGAAGGAAAGATTAAAGCGCTCATTCTGTGCCTTTGGCTGCACCTGGGAATTAACTCAAGATTCCCCAATAGCACTGTCAACAGTAATAAAGAAGATATGATGTTATAAAGTAAATATCCTGATGTTTTGCAATAGCAATACTAATTACTTAATTTAACTGAATAGGGCAAAAAATTGGAAGTTCCGCGATCTCATTGATTATGTGTGGTGATATGGATTACTTCGCTGAATAAACAGATTCTGAATATATAAGTTCCGTGCAGATCAAATTTAAATTTGTAAAGCTGATTAAGTGACCAACGTAATACAAAATTTAGATCAGACCAAAGTTTCAAATTACTTTGAATATTGATGCATTTAATACCCAAATAAATCAGAGAATTGGTAATTTCCACAATCTAGGCAGCTTAAAAGACAAAAAGCAACCTAGTGTGATTTTTAAAAGAGTGACCAGTTCACGAAATCAATCTTATTTATATTTTCAAACACGCTTCATTAAACAGTATATTACAAATATACAATCAGACACAATGATCCTGAGCCGAAGACTGATATATTATATTTCCACGTCGTATTGCGTGTTTTCTTGCACTAAGACAGCTATGTTTCATACAAATCATACTGTTTTCAATGAAAAAGTTGAAAGTTTTTATTTTCTAAATAAAACAATATCGTGAATAAAGATTTAGATACAAGTACAGATGCAGTATACATTACCAAATCATTACAGTATTAAACAGAAATTATATTTTATCAGATTCCAGTTCATCAATCGATCTTACTTTCGAGTCGTCAGAAAATTTAACAGTTACTATAACGCTAGTGATTGAGATTTGAGCAGCGATTAACACCATAGTTTTTCATATTAATAGCTATTTCAACGTAATTACGACAATCGAAAACTAAAATCAAGTATTGAAACGCTCACCTGCGAAACTGTTCCACCGGTAATGAATAGACAGCAAGGAAAACCCTATAACTATCTGCAAATAGTTCAAAGACAAATACAATCTGAAAATTTCTACATCAAAATTTCGATTTATACTTCTTTCTTCATTTTTTTTCTTGGCTCTCTGATAAATATTGCAGTAAACGTTGAACCTTTGCTGCACGAAATTTGATTGAAATACCCTTTTTTAGACAGTAACGAGAAAATGCGTGGTGAGATACGATGGGAAGCTCATAGCATATTAGCAGTGCGACTGTTGACACGTGGCGGGGTACGAATTGTGGGCCAACAAACTTTTGTTTATGATCACGTGGGACCAATTGCTTTAAATCGTTGTCTTTGGTGGTGTATAGAATGTAAAGTGCGCTGAGTTGTAGGTGATTCTGGCTGCTGTCGCACGTAAAGCATATGGTGAGTATTTATTTTGTTTAAAATAGAAAAAGAAAAATGTATTTCCCATAAAAGAAATATAAAAAATTAGAAGAGGACAATGTGTATTCTTCACTACAGCTTTGGCTTTTTCTTTTCTTTTCTTTTTTTTTTTTTCCATGACCTCCTTTCGCTTCGGGAAACAATTATTTTCATTTTTCAATTTCTATATATTTGATAAAAGCAACACTATGCAACAAAAATAAGTTTCTGATAAAAATGACGCGACATAAGAAAAAATATTCTAATTTTGATACAAAAATAATTCAAGCAAGTGATTAGTACGTAAAGATTAACTAAAATATTTTGTTTTCATATTTGTCGTCGATCATGGGTCAACCATCTTTGACACTATGTCAATTGTTGACATATATTGGTGATCAAAGACCAAAGCTTTTGATCACTTGTCAATTGTAGTATGAAGACCATTTTTAACTAATCCAACTTGCAAGATGTGAACTTTATCGTTTCTTTTAAATCATACATTTCTTTCTATTCTCCTAGTAATTTTTTTTCTCGATCTTTCTGTTATTAATTGTTGAATAATTCTATTTATATCGAATTGGGGATACCGAAAGTTGTCATCTCTTTCACAATGCTTTTGAGCCCCGCATGGATATAAAAATTCTCAAATTTGACCTCCACTCCCTATTATGAGTAGTAGGTAAATGATTAGACAAAAAAAAATTATATACATGCAGTATTGTCCTTAATTGTCCTCGTCTAAAAATAAGAGGTTCATTTTGTGCAAACCTTCCAAGGATCGACGGGAGGGAGAAATCACAGGGCTAGGGGAAGTGGAATCTTTNCTTCGTTTTTAAATCTCGTATCTTTGGATTTTAATTTGCAATTTGTTATCCTTCTCGTTTCTTGGCGCTAGCATCTTTCAGTTCTTCAACTCAAGAGTCACAAGCTTATCGGAACACCGTAATGGAGGTTGTTCCATCGGTTTATGGAAACGGGTTTCCACCCATTTTCTGTCTCACCTCAGCCCGTACCATCAAGAACTATCCCCCAGCCACCGCCATATCCCCTGTTGCCACTGCTGCTAATCCTACCAGTACTACTACACACAGTGAAATTCAAAATGGACCCATATACGCGACTGGACGATCTGGGAAGAGCCTTTCAGTCTCGTCTACAATAAGACAATCTGCAATGCTCGACATTCAACAGTCCACCGACTTGACCTCTGCTCTTTCGAGGTTCTTTCTTTCTTTTATTAATGTTTATTCACTTGAGTTTAGCCATTGATACTTACGGATATTTTTATGTTGCTTATTACGTGCTTGGGGGTGTATGCGGGCGAGGTGAAATTCTAGCTTACTATTGTCGTGAGCCTGGGCCTTTCAAAGGCTAAATGATTTTGATAATTAGGTATTTAGTGGATATCCAAGATAATGACTCATTTCTCTTGCTTTCTTCTCATCACAGTAATTTTATCTGTGTAATTGTCTTTTAGTAGACTGAGAAATTTCACCGTGTCTTCCCGAGTTCTCACTCCACACATCTATTTCATTTGGAAATTAAACTAGAATTTATAGAATTCAGTTAATTGAAATGTAATAAACTTTAAAATCCAGTTCTTGAAATGTCAATTACATGGTACTAATAACTAAAAGTATCTATAATAAATTCTATGATCGACATGTGAGTTTTATTTACACAATCTGTAATATGTTTCTGCAGCTATGATGAAGTTATATTTCTTTGTTGTCAGCAAAGTTTTACTCATACCTTGTAGTTTTACTTCTCTCCCAATTCAAATTAGATCATGGACACGATATTTGAGATGTGCCATTGAATATCCAGGTTACTGATATCATCGTCTATTTACAGATCAGGAGAGGCGTTGAAAGCACAAGACTTTAATGTGATTTTGCGCCATTTTGGGAAGTTAAATAGATGGAAGGATATTTCTCAGGTTTAAGTGGATAAATATCTTCTGTGCTTTTCTTTGTCATGTTGGTTAGCACGCTTCGATAATTAGGGTAGTTATAAATTCTGTTGCCGGCATGGTCTGCTAACATATAGAGATTTACATAACTTAGTTTTTGAATCATCGGTATATTTCTTATAGCTTTAATGAACACAAAATATCTGAAGAGTCTTTTCTTCTTTAGTTACTACATGATATCACGTGTAAATATTAGCTCTCCCTTTTCTTTTCTGGCTTGGCTGTTTAGATAGTTATGTTTATCATGGGTCTTTTAACTGAAAACTATTTGGCTTTTTTAACACTGTGAAAAAGACGTATTAATTTTATATCCCCTTACTAAAGGGCGATGTTGACCGCTCCCACTCCTTAACACTCAACTTTTGAATGGCTGAATTGGGTACAGCTGTACAGTTGAATTAGTGAAGTCGTGGTTTCCCATCACAACATCTTAGAGTTTTTGAGTTAACGTAATACTTACATTTGAAAGGATCCTATACTTTCATCTTCGATTATATTTAAGTTTTCTTCCAAACACAAGCTTCATGAGCAGTATTGATGCTCAACTTCTGAATTCCTTTAGCAAAATTGTTTTAGTTTGAACAAATCATAATTTCCACACATATATTTTGCCACCTTTGTATGCCCTGCATCAAAATGCCTTCTTGTGATTTTGGTAATATCATGTCTTATTACTACTCTGTAACCTTGCAGCTTTTTGATTGGATGCAACACTATGGGAAAACAAATATTGCTTCTTACAGCAGTTATATGAAGTTCATGGGGAGGCGTCTCAATCCATTAAAGGTCCTAGAAATATACAATAGCATCAAAGACAAGTCAATAAGGAACAGTGTCTCCATCTGTAATTCCGTTCTGAATTGCCTGGTAAAAAGTGGCAAGTTCGATAGCAGCCTCAAACTATTTAGTCAAATGAAGCAAGATGGTCTAATGCCTGATATTGTAACCTATAGTACGGTGTGTAAACTCTTATTCTCAAATATTTTAATTTTCATGGAATTTACAGACTTATCAATTGTCTGCCTTTGTAATCCAAATTGCTAGTGAGGGTATTGCGTGAAAGGAAAAGATGGCATATCAGTTTATTCTGTACAGTATCCATAGATAAATTAACACTGCATTGTATCCATAGATGCATAAGGACAATAACCTCTTGCAATGAAACTTATGGGGTTGCATGGTTATATACAATGTAAACACTTAATTTCGAACTTTTTTCTTCCCCAATTTTGTGGAAGGCACAATAGTCTATTGCAAAAATCTGTGACAGGGGTTGAGTTGTTATTTCTTAATCTTAAACACTAGAATGTTTCAGCAAAGACTTCTTCGTCGTACATTTATCTATTAAATTTTGCAGTTTCTTTTTGCAATCTCATATTTTTGTGTTTTGTATCTTCAGCTACTTGTGGGTTGTGCGAAAGTGAAAGACGGCTATACAAAGGCATTGGAGCTGGTTCAGGAAATTAAGTCTAGTGGGTTGCATTTGGATAGCATAACATACGGGACACTTATATCCGTCTGTGCGTCAAATAATCGGTGTGAGGAAGCGGAAAACTACTTTGAGCAGATTAAGAGCGAAGGTCATGCTCCCAATGTTTTTCACTACAGCTCTTTGCTTAATGCGTATGCAATTGATGGCAATTATAGAAAAGCTGATGAGTTAATTCGAGAGATGAAATCTGCAGGGGTGGAGTTGAATAAGGTTTGTTTTCTTGTCCTCTTACCAACGAGTCTAATGATGTAAATTATATTGTTTCTTAAAACTTTTCTTTTTGCAACAAATAAAAGTTATAAACTTTATCATTTAAAAAAAACAATAGAACTTTTAAGTACCTTACTTTTGCTTACTATGGACAACAAAAGGTCAGTTGGCATGATGGTAAGTTGTGAGCTTTAGCACATAAATAGTTCAGGTTCAAGTCACTAGCCTTATTTTACTGGTTCTTCCATTACCTGTCTTATTAACATGCTAATTGGTCCAATGTGATCCTATAGCCGGTTTGGCGGTTTCCGGACTGGGCCGGTTTTAATAACTATTCTAATAACTACTCTTTTCTGAGCATATCATTTGTCCTCCTGCTCTTCCTCTTTCTTTAACTATGATTTAACAAAAAAAAAAAAAAAACAATGGAAGCATGTAATGATGTAGATAAGAAGAATAAACTTCCAGATTTTCTTGAATTCACAAAATTCCTTGTCTTTCTTCAATGTTTTCAAAGCATTCATATTAGTTCTGGTTGAGTCTTATCAGTTACCACAATGCAATAAGCTTGTGAAATTAACTTCTTCTTCTTCTTTTTTTTTTTTT